TTTAACTCTTCAATTTCCATGGAATATTTTTCTGTCAACTGCAAGATCACAAGCGCAATATGTTATAAGCCAATCTTCGTAAATTTCCGAGAAGATCCCTTACTAAGGGCCTGTTTGAGGCTCATTTTTTTGGTGTAAAATGCATTTTGAAATAATAGATTGATGGAGAATATATGGATAAAAATGAAGAAAAAGTTTTTGAATTGCGTATAATATTATTTTATTGAAAAAATGTGTGATTGAAAAGAAAAGATAGAATGTATTTTGAAAAAAATTGGTATCAAACAATGGCTAAATCCTTAATTTTTAACTTTTGTAGTTTGAAACGATCTTCCATTTGTACACACCTTAACAAACATTACATCCTTAAAAATGTTACTAAATCCGGGAATTTTAGAGCCGACACACATAAACAAAAAAATATAAAAGCGAATGAAAACATAAAGATGATATACCTCAGAATCAAACGCAAAGTTGAGAAACTGTTCACCCCATAAGCTTGGTGAGAAATTTGCGACTGGGCGAACAATCTCTTTTTCGCAACTGGTAACATTTTCAACAAGAGCTGAGGCCATTCTGTTTTTTCTTCTGGTATATTATTGAAGAAGAAGAAGAAGAAGAAGAAGAAATTGTTTATGGTGCAATTTATGTTGATATTATAAGCTCTAGCTGAAGTTGATGCTGGTGATGAAATACTGAAGAGCTACCTCAATTTATAGTGTAAATGAATTGTGCAAGGCGAGCTACTATAATATTTTTATTGAATAGCGCATGTGATCATTCTTGACTATTAGTAAAGACTGGCGTCTCTCTCTCTCTCTCTTCTTTGTCTAATGTTTTTTTAAAGTCTTAGTCAATAATGGTTACTCTATTAAAATTCTATAATAATATAGGAAACTGAACATGTGGAATTGTGGATTTTTGTCACAAGGGAAGTTTAATGTGTTGATTCTGAAAATTTTTGTTAACGTAGTCAAAAAGAGAAAATATTCTTCTGTAGAGAAAATTCAAATTATATAGGTTGAATAATGGGCCAAATTGTGGCTTCGATGGTCAAATATGTAGGGCTAAACAATTGCAAAATCTTCTACCAATGTTATTTAGTCCCACTATGTTTAAAATTCGATCTATGAGAAGTTAGGTGATAGACTGAATAAAAAGTTGATCATTTAATTTCACGTATCATTTAATGTCATATTAACGTCACATAAATTGAAATTGTAATTTCTAACAGGTTTTGATACCTATGCATAAAAAATGTACCTAATAGATTACATAATATGATATGGAAGGAAAATATTGGATGAAATATTGATTGTGTTTTAAACTGGCAAAATGGCAAAGTGTCATGTGATATTATGTAATCCATTATATAAATCTTGATATTCATGTAACAAGATCCATTTCTAACAACACAAACATACTATTAGTAAAGACTGGCGTCTCTCTCTCTCTCTTCTTTGTCTAATGTTTTTTTAAAGTCTTAGTCAACAATGGTTACTCTATTAAAATTCTATAATAATATAGGAAACTGAACATGTGGAATTGTGGATTGAGAAAAAGTAATTGGATAATCAGTTCAATTTGTCACAAGGGAAGTTACGGCGAACAAAGGTTAAAATGTGTTGATTCTGAAAATTTTTGTTAACGTAGTCAAAAAGAGAAAATATTCTTCTGTAGAGAAAATTCAAATTATATAGGTTGAATAATGGAGCCAAATTGTGGCTTCGATGGTCAAATATGTAGGGCTAAACAATTGCAAAATCTTCTACCAATGTTATTTAGTCCCACTATGTTTAAAATCCGATCTATGTGAAGTTAGGTGATAGACTGAATAAAAAATGTACCTAATCGATTACAGGGAAAATATTAAATGAAATATTGATTGTGTTTTAAACCATTATGTAAAATGGCAAAGTGTCATTTGACATTATGTAATCCATTATATAAATCTTGATGTTCATGTAACCTAGATCCATTTCTAACAACACAAACATTAATATGAAACATCGTATGAATTAATTCAATACCATAAACGTAAAATTGAAAAGAGACCATAATGTTAATTCAACATCAAAAACCCCTATTTATTTAATACCAAAAAATTGAAAAAAATAAAAAAATCATTGCCTAGGCGGTGTTATGGGTTGCTACCACTAACCTAGATTGATGGTTCGATTTTTATTAACTACTTGTAAACAACTATATTATACTCTAGTGCGAAGTTAGATGTCTTGTAAGGTTTACATGTGTATCCACTCTAAAGCTTTAAGTTTACATGCTACTGCAGTACTTATCAGATACGTTCGTAGCGCTTCATGTCTCGAATTGGCAATATAATAGTAAGTGGTATTGCTTTTTACTCTAATACTTCTTAACTTGTCGAAGATGGATTGATTGTATGCTCCATTCATTTCCCCCGATGTTAGGGACGATGTCTTAATGAAAGTTTTGTGCTTCACATTCAGAATAATATGCTATTCTCAATTATGTTTGAAAGTAAATAAAATCATTTCAAAGATTCCATTAAATTTTATAATTTTGCATGAACATTGATATAATTTTTTTTAACGAAAACACAATGCTCCCATCCAAATAAAAATATGGAAAAATAAATCATAAGAACTAGAAGAAAAAAAAAAGATAGTTTAATGACCTTTAACAATAATTACAATTAGAGTATGAGGACAAAAGGTAGAATAATATAGTGATGGCAACAAAGCGAGGATGGGTAGAAACGAAAATATTGTCCCCCGTCCGTCGGGGAATTTCAACCGCTATCCCTACCTCAGGCGAAGCGGGATGGGGATTTCATCGCTCCATTGGTAACCTTGTTTCATTTTTACTTTATCTTTAATTAATTTTTATTTTTGAACATAGATGATTACTAGATTGAAAATATGATGATAAGCCTTTGTTTGGTATTATATTTTTGGAAAATTTATTTATTTATTCCAAATTGTATAATAGAAAATGTGTCGTTTTTATTTTTAATTTTTAAACATAAACGGTCGTGAATTGGGGAGGGAACCATGATCCTCGTCCTCGCCTCACAGACCCGATTAAGTGGAAAATCCCGGTACAGTTGGGGTAGGTCCCTTGGTCTTGTGAAATTTTTTGCCATCCCTAGAATAAGAATTACATATTTGTTTTTGGCTGATGAGGAAAAAAGAAAACTTCAATTCCGTCATTTTAAAAAGAGAAGGTCTCTCTGTGTAAGTATAAGTCATCTTGTGGGTGATTTTGTAATATGATCACAAGTGTAAGCACTAAGCTGTAATTAACTTTTCACTTTAAAATGCTTCTGGCAACGCCATCTGCTTGTATTTGCAATTTTGCACTTGGATTTTGGAGGGAAGTACTGCAGAACCAGAGTGCTTTTTCTGCTTATTTATTCAAAGGTCAGAGACTGTACAAAAATGAAAGGATCAAGACTTATTTTCACTATTCAAAAACGTGAAGGACCCCAACTGCAATAATAATAATAAAGAAGGTAAAATCGCTTTATGCTCGCGAATTTCTCAAGTAATTAATAAGCACGCTTCCCTTCTTCATCTGCCTGCAGGGTTTAGGGTTTTAAGTATAGTTCTTTGTGCTCAAATCTCGCACGGAATTCACGATGAAGGTGAAAGTAATATCACGCTCCACAGAAGAATTCACTAGAGAACGAAGTCAAGATCTTCAGGTACAGAACCGTTTTCACCGTTTCACTTTCATATTTTTTTTCCTTTAACAACATGATTTATTTATTTATTTTGGGTGTGGGGATTGTAAATCTTTGATTTTACTAGAGAGTGTTTCGCAATTTCGACCCAAATCTTCGATCTCAAGAGAAAGCAGTCGAGTATGTTCGCGCTCTTAATGCAGCTAAATTAGATAAGGTACATTCACTCCCTGATAATTGTAGTAACAATGATAATTTATATTGTTTACTTATGAATTTCGATTAAGTATCTGAGAATTGAAGTGCTGTATTATACAAAATTATACTTTCTTCTTTTGTAAGATATTTGCTCGGCCATTTATTGGGGCAATGGATGGGCACATTGATGCAGTCTCGTGTATGGCAAAAAACCCAAGTCACTTAAAGGGAATATTTTCTGGTTCTATGGATGGAGGTATAATTTTCTTTTTTATTTATTTTTTGATTTAACTATCCTTTTTATCTCAAATTGGATTAGTTAAATTGCTATGACAGTTTGGAAGTTGTTGTTGATGTTGCCTTAAGCTGAAAATTATTAATTTTGTTTAATGGATGCAAATGTATTTGGTGTTACATGAACCATTTGGTGGCAATTGAAAGTATGTTAAACTTGAAAAGTTGTTCTTTTTTTTGCAGATATTCGTCTTTGGGATTTGGCTAGAAGGTATTGATTTGCTACAGCTAGGAAGTTACATATGATGGGGTTTGATTATCTGAATATGAAAATGCATTTGACTTGTTTTATGCATTAGCCAAAAGTCAGTTAAAGTATTACCCACAGAAGTAGAGAACAATATCTTATTTTAAAATGCCTGATAATGATATATGCCCTGTTCCTTCAAGTAAAACATGATTGTTTAAATTCTGTAGAAATTTGAGGAGGAAAAAAATAAATTGTTAGTCACAGGTACCCCAGTTTTTAATATTGGCGTTGGTTCTGAAATCTTATACTCAATTTTACAAAATAGGCAGACAGTTTGTCAGTTTCCTGGTCACCAAGGCGCTGTACGGGGTCTGACAGTATCTACAGATGGTCGTGTTCTTGTATCATGTGGGACTGATTCCACGTAAGACCAAACTTCTCTTCCTGCTTTTGAGTTGATCTGTTTGTAAAATCATTGTTGGAATAATAAGAATGAATTCTGAAGATAACTTCACTCAATCTTGGTTTTTCAGGGTCCGGCTCTGGAATGTTCCTGTTTCTTCTATTATGGAGTCTGATGACTCATCTGACAGCTCAGCAAAGGTTAGTGATTTTTGCATTCATTTTATTAACTTTGCCATACATGGAGACCATTTATGTCCAATTTGTCTGAACAACCTTCATTTTTGGGTTTCCACAGCCACTAGCAGTCCATGTTTGGAAGAATGCGTTCTGGTAAAGTTTCCTTTTGCAGTTGCCTGAACATGTAGACTGAATATTGTATCATATTGTTGTTGACGATATAATTTTAGTTATATTATCTGGAACTCCTTGGTTGTAATTGCTTTACATTGTTATTCTTTCAGGGCTGTTGATCACCAATGGGATGGAGATCTCTTTGCTACAGCTGGAGCTCAAGTAGATATATGGGACCACAACAGGTTTTATTTGATTTATTTTGACTTTGTTGTTTCAACATAAAGATGCTTCAGCTTCTAACATTTCATGTGTCTCTCTTCAAACAGGTCTCAGCCTGTCAACAGTTTTGAATGGGGGAAAGATACTGCTATATCTGTTCGCTTTAATCCTGGAGAGCCTAATTTATTGGCTACATCAGCTAGGTCTGCACTATATATATGTGAAACTTAGGTTAATTACTTTTGTTGACATGTTCAGAAGACTGGTCATGCAACTGTTTGATAGAAAGTAAAGATCTTCCTTATGATTTATATGTTGCTACTACACCATTGAGGTTTTTCATATGCCCATTAATGTTGTATCTGTTGTTTGTTGACTAAATGATACAATGTTTTGGCTTTGATGAATTTGGTTTGTATATTTATTTTGTTTTGGTAAGATGTGAGTCCTCAACATCTTAATAACATTAAATGAAGTTGTGTGGATTAGAACGTGTAATGAGACGGATAGTTGCATTAGGAACCTAGTAAAGAATTAAGTAGTCTAAGGAAGAAGTCCATTTAATAAAGAAACGTGGTGGTGGAACTAGAAGGTTCAAATGGTTAAGATAAAAAAAAATGAATGCTTTAAGAACATAGCAAAATATGAAAAGATGGAGGCATTTGTGCATTATAAGCTAGCCAAAAGAAGCCAAGATGGTTTTGTGAGTGATGGGCATATATGAGAAGATGTATGGTCATATTGGAACCAAGGATGTTGAGGAAGTTGTTGTCTCGGTGCAGGGAAAAAGAGCAGGGATCTGTGAACTCCGTTGAGCATATTAAGCATGAGAATCAAATCATTTTGTTTCATAACAGTAAGTGTGAAGAATAATTTGACAATTTTTTGGAGAAAGACATTAGGGAATTGGGGGATCACAGAAACTCTATTGTGATAGAAATATTAATGATACCAGATATGTGTGTGCTTCAGAAACGAGGGAGACTAATAAGATAAATATAAGAAAAAGAGAATTAAACAAGATAGAATCACTATTGCAATAAACTCTATTAAGATAGAAATATTAATGATCCCAGATATGTATGTGTTTCAGAAACGAGGAGACTAACAAGATAAATATAAGAAAAAAGATAATTAAACAAGATAGAATCACTATTGCAATAAACTCTATTAAGATAGAAATATTAATGATACCAGATATGTATGTGTTTCAGAAGCGAGGAGACTAACAAGATAAATATAAGAAAAAAGATAATTAAACAAGATAGAATCACTATTGCAATATGAAAGTGTTGGACAAGATGTTTATTATCCGGTTGGCAAATTACTGAATGAGATTTTTATGTGTAAAAAGATGCCTGGTGGTTCATGATTTATGGGTAAGAGTGATTAGGTGTAGTTCAGATTTATCAGAGAAATAATTTGACTCTATGTTTAATGAAAAATTATAGACAATGAAGCAACTCGTACATAAGTTTTTTATTGATTAGAAAAAAATAAAAATAAAAATTGACTGGATTTCTAAGGAATTCCTATATTGAATTTAAGAGAAAATGGAATTTCTTCTTGTTACATTAATATGATTAAGGATATGAGAGACAAGTGAGTACTAAATCTAGTAATACTACTATTAAATTTGATATTACAATTGGCTTGCATAAACATTATGCTCCAAGTCTAATCTATTTTCTTTTTTTCAAAAGTATACTTGAATTAATGTAATTATTGTTTGCTTTAGGAACTCATCCTTTTCCTTTATTCAAGATGAACTTACTAGGTATATGAAAGATCAGGTTATTTGGCAAATGCCATTTGCTGATGATATAGCTTTAGTTGAAGCAGTTGAGAAGTCAACCATATCATATGTTATAAAGGAGTAATTAAATCTTTTTTTTCATAAGTATAAAGGAGTAATTAAATCAAATAAAGTTTGAAGTAAAATAATTACGAGATTCTTGGAATGTCTTAGTAATCATGGTGGGAATGAAAAAGATCATGGGGTCAAGATATAGGATATTGTTCTGCCATAAAACAATTGTTAGGTACCTAGATGATGGATCCTGCTGCCCTGTTTTACCAATGTATTGTGTTGTTTAAGTCTGTGCAGTATATTTATCTTCTCTTGCTGCAACTCCTTTTCTCACTCTTTATTTATTGCAGTGACCGGAGCATAACAATATATGATTTACGATTGTCATCTCCGGCGAGAAAGATTATCATGAGGGTGAGTGTAATGAATTTCTATTCGATTAGTATTTGAAGAAGCCTTGTATGACAAATGCAATGTTTATATTCTACAACATTTCTTAGGCATATTTTGGTTAAATCTACCGTTATTATTTTCCATGCCAATTTGAGTATATTCTGTTAGCACCCAATTATTCTTAGCTTCTTGTAGAAGCTTTTCATACTTACAAAATATGGTGTCTCTATATATTTCTGATAATTTTGTATATGCTCAGCACGTCTGATCTGTATATAATTATCCTAACTTGCTTTTTCGTATCGCAGACAAAAACTAATTCTATAGCATGGAATCCCATGGAGCCAATGAATTTTACAGCTGTAAGCCTCACATTTGGATCTAATTTCTTCTCTCCCCCCCCCCCCCCC